AGTTGACTACTAGACTTGCATAGCATTTCAAAATCATCAGAAGCGTGTTTAAGCACCTCTTAAGAGCATACAAAATACGAAGGCAAGTGGACTTACGCACGCACCGGAGGTCACATACGCGTGTGTGCTCACAACTGACCCAGCGAATCAATTGTAAGGGGGAAGAGGACGTTCAGCTGGCCTAAAATTGTGGCGCTTGGAAAAGTCAGGGGGTGGGGGGTTGGTGACCTACAACTGCGCACCAGCGAATCACAACATCGTAACGGAGTCGATGCGCTGGTTGAGGTCACTCGGGACGGCGACAGACGCTCAAGGTAGGCCAACCACTTAGCATTTCACGATGTGCTGTTCAGCAGAATGCAATGAACTATCGGAGATGATTGCGGATCTCTCGGAATCCTTTCCTACCCTTTACCGCGGCTGGCTGCCTCGCAGTCAGGTTCGTGCAGCGCTAGAAAAGGTTGGATTCACCCTCTCCAGTGGTGACTTTCGATGTCTTGTCGAAGAAGAATTTATGCGACCTGGATGCGACCATATCTGCGTGGATACGCTGATCGAAATTATTAAAGTGCTGAAGGCAAGTCAGGATAAGCATCAGCTAGTTGAAAAGAAGAAGGAACTTCGAGATCGGGCTGATTTAAGAGTGAGTTGACATGCGCTTTCAGAGTTTCACAATTCCAGTCTAATTTCCTCAAGCCTTGTAAACAAGCCACTACCTTCAAATTGAGTTGAAGAACCTAATGATCCTTTTTTTTCAAAACGGCAAAATTTATTGACTGAGAAACGAAAACATCTTAGGCTGCATGACTATTGTGGCATTTAAGGAGGTTTTCATTTCATTTTCAACAAATGAAATTACATAGGATATTGACACATTGCCTTTTCTTACCACTTGGCACAAATGAGTTTTGCCAAATTAGTCTGAACTACTGAACAGAACGTTCTTCCAGCACCGTTTTTTGGCGTACCTAAAGTGTTTCACTATCTATTAGAAAGAAGAAATTTTGTTTCACAAACAATTAAAGTGACACAAATCTGCTCGCAAATGTATGTACTCAATGCTGAAGGTGAAAACGAGGCCACAGTTTCACGCTGAGCCCTTTGTAGGCGGTTTCGAGGCAAATTTTGCCAACCTATCAACAAAATTAAGATCGATGCTAAGATAACGTATTAAACCTAATGTTTACATTATTACGGTCAAATCTCCGAGACTTTCGATAATAGTGCAAGCATGATTGCACTTCATGACATCATTGTTGCAAAAAGTATAATCATTAGAGAGCTTGTTTCCTTCAAATGACTGACAGGAAACCACAAATCTTGGTCACAAGTGGTTTGCAATTTTGCTTAGAGTGGACATACATCCAGGTAAGGCCAGATTAGAATTAAACGAAGGTAAACTTTCCACAAAAGTCGTCAGATTGCTATAAATTTTGGCACTCGTTTGGTGACTTTAACGGTGTTTTTACCCCATTTCATCCATTCTTACCACGTTCTTACATTCCCGTGCAATCATCAGAGCGTACAACTTTTGAATTTAGGTTTATGAGACTGAGATGCAGGAAAACTCTACAACCACGGCGAAGCATTCGGTGAGCCCAGCCGAGGAGAGGGCATTCATTGATTGGATAAACCGTTTACTAGGTCGTGATCAAGACCTCAAACACCATCTGCCCATAGACTACAATGTTGATGGACAGCTGTACGAGCGGTGTCGCGACGGTCTTCTGCTCTGCAAACTCATAAACGCCGCTGTACCTGACACCATCGATGAGCGTTGTATCAATAAAACCCCCACGAAGCCAAATATATTCAAGGTATTTCCTCCCTCACTCCAATTTAACCTTGCTACTCAATTTTCCTCTATTCTTCTGTAGCTTTTCAGTGGTTTCGCTTAGCAGATTTGAAATATTTACCACCTCTTCAATGAGGCAAAATATACACAGCTTGGACTTCTTTGAGATAAGCTGAAAGAGAACGAAGTTAGATGGTTAGCTGTTTAACTGTCCACCCGTACTGTATCAATAAACTGGTGAAAATGGGTTTACAACATGCAAATCTTAAATGCTCTTTATTCTCCTCAGATAAACGAGAACCTTACACTGGCAGTAAACTCAGCTGAGTCCATTGGATGCTGTGTAGTCAACGTTGGCCCAGAGGACATTGAACAATGTGCCCGCCACCTAGTACTCGGTCTTATCTGGCAAATAATTCGCATCGGCTTGTTGGGTATGATCTCAATCCAGCATCATAGCGAGCTTATCGACTTGTTGGAGCCTGGTGAGACTGTAGATAATTTGCGTCTGCTTTCCCCGGAGGACTTGCTTCTCCGTTGGGTAAATTTCCACCTCGAAATGGCCGGCAATACGCACAGAATGACAAATTTTACATACGACGTCATCGATTCCGAGATTTACGCCACTTTACTCCAACAAATCGCTCCGGAAGATAAGCAGTCATTTCTCATACCAGTAACTGGCATTATGGCCGAGAGCAATATGTACTGTCGCGCTGAAATGGTTCTTGAAAACGCAGAATTCCTTAATGCAGCTGCCTTTATCTCACCTGAGGATATTGTGAATGCAGCAGAACGCGGAATGGCTCGCGATAAACTTCATCTAGCCTTTGTGGCTAACCTCTTCAATCTCTACCCAGGTTTGAAGTCGAAACCGCCCGTAGACGTTCCAGAAACACTAGAAGAGAAAACCTATCGCAACTGGATGAATTCAATGGGCGTTGCACCGTTCGTGCGTGACCTATCTAGCGACTTACGAAGCGGCCTCATATTTTTGCAACTCCTAGATGTCTTGGAGCCCGGAACTGTAGCCTGGAAAAAGATTGTTCGTGTATTTGATCCAAAGCGTCAGATATTTCAAATGCAAGACAACTGTGCTTACGTCGTTGAGTACGCGAACTTACTGAATGTCAACGTAGTTAATTTGAGCGGTGAAGATTTGCGAAATGCAGAGAGAAAACTGACGCTAGGACTTACCTTTCAATTGATGAGAGCCTATACTATGAAGATGCTCTCCGGGCTACATCAGTGTTTTGGTCACCTTTGCGAAAAGGACATTCTTGAATGGGCAAACGAGAAACTGATCTCCGTGGGGGCTCCGATGCTTGCCAGTTTCCGCGATTCCACAATCTCAAATGGGGTACCAGTAATGAATCTCATCAATGCAATCAAACCTCATTCCATTGACAAGTCGATGGTGCTAAAAGATAAGTTGGCGAACTGTCGAATTGCAATCAGCACAGCGCGCAAAATTGGGGCTCGGGTTTACGCCCTTCCAGAACATTTGAGAGACGTGAATCCAAAGATGGTCATGACGGTTTTTGCTTGCCTGATGGCCCTTGACATACAACTCAACGGGGCACCGTAAAAGGAGCAACGGTACACTTTATTGACATTATTCTCACAACTAACCTTCCCTACCCCCACCTTCATTTACGTTTTAATATGAGTCACGTAATGCCAAATTAAGTGGGTTGTGAAGAGTGATACGGCATCTGAGATGGGCTAACACTCGAGCTAGGATTGCGCGTTTAAAGTCCATGATGAGATGTACTTTGTACTGTGTATCGAGAAGAAAATGCTTTTGTCAGAGTCCTATTTGAATCGCTCGATCGCATCAAAATTGCAGAGTATTTAATTTAGATGGGACTAAGATCGTGGCCGTTTAACCTTAAATTTGTCATTATTAGTCACATTCTAGAAGGTGTTTTCAAGAGACAACAAGTGGGATAGGAGATTGCAATTATTATAAACGTCTTGTTTAATTGATTTAGGCATGGCAACACGAGGC